AAGAGCATTGTTGTGTAGGTGGAAGATGATATCATTTCTTCTTCATTTTTGACCTGGGATGAAAAACACGGTTGTCACTGCTGCTTCTTCAGTTTTAAATACCAAGACACTGATGACAGTTTCTGTGAGAGTAGGAGAAATGCAGAAGGGAAAACAGCTCCCTAGCTCTCACGATGGGCAGAGCGAGCCAGCCTGGGCCCCTTGCCTCCTTGGCACCAGCACCCCAGGTTTAGCCAAGTAGGTTACTGCCCAAAAGAGAAACTTTGCCTTCCTGAATTTTTTTTTTCTTTTTGCGATACCAGGGATTGAACTCAGGACCTTGTGCTTGCCAGGTAGGCACTTACTCACCTGAGCTATCTCCCTGGCCCAACTTCACCTTCCTGCCTTCCCTCCAGAGCAGTGCCCTCATCTGTAAGTTAGGGTTTTATTCCACAGAGAGAGGAGATGGTCATTACGATGAGTCTAGAGAGAGAAAAGTCCCACTCATCTCACACGGCCCAAGTCCAGCAAGGGACTCTACAGATCAGCATATATAACAGTGTGGCCACCAACTCATACTGTCTCCTTCCTATAATCCCTTAGTAGGGGTGCAAAAGAGCATCCAGCCCAGCTGCGACACAGGGGTGCAAGGGCTTCTCCTGTGCTCCACGTCCCCAGTGCTGCCCTCTTACTGTCGCCTTCCCGTCCCCTGGGGTCCTTTGACTCTGCATTGTGTGTCCCTCTCTCAGCCCTTGGCACTGCAGTTCCTAAGCACAGAGAGCTCAGAGATGGGGCAGAGCAGGTTCCTGTAATTTCCCCTGCTCCAGTTGCCCCAAACCCTCCTAGTCCCAACCCACCACAGTCTGTCAGTCTTCCCTGCCTGGAGGTCTGTTTCCACTTCTTTTTTCCAAAGGATGGGTTTCCATTGTTGACAGCAAAAGACATCAAGATAAAATCCAGAACACTGATTGTAAGGAGCCCACTCTGGTCTCATAGCTTCTGCAGGCTCTGGATCCCAAGTTGTATGGGTCTCTAGGGGCTGCCTGCAAGGAAAGGGAGGTCAGGAGACATCACCTCTTAATTGTGGACTTCAGTCTCCAGAGCTGTAAGAATATAAGCTCCAGCCAGGCCAGCCGCCTCCTCAGTACTCTTACCACAGCAGCCCTGGCTGACAACGCAGACTCACCGCTGTCTCCACTCCAAGGCTGCCCACCCCTAGCGCATGGCCACCAGCGAGTGGGCAACTCTTCCCAACTCCTGCTCAGTGCCAGCAGGCGGACAGCTTGCAGCGCACCACAGTGAGGACAGTGACACCAGGCCAGTTGGCCACTCTGTAAGCCAGAGCATGTTCTCCCAGAAAACCAGATATTAGACATTTCCCAGCACAGCCCTGCCTGCAGAGGGAGGGGCTGGAAGGCA